ACAATATTTTCTTTAAAAATGCCACAGCTAACTACTTTCCTACAGGAAAAGCCATCAATGAAAATTTAAAAAAAAAGGAAAAAAGATAATCGATAACCACATTTTCTGAGGAAAATGTCGTCGATAGAAATTTTTCTATAAGAAAAGTCGACGTTGTCAACTTTCCCTGCAGAAAAAGTTACCGATAACAATTTGTTCCATGTAAGAAGTTGCCGAAAACTAAATTTTCTGTGGGAAAAGTGACCGATAATAAGTTACACTATAGATACCTTCACCGATAATAACCTTCTGTATAGTAAATGTAACATTGATAACAAGTTATTCTATAGAAAAAGACATCGATTACCATTTGCAACCACTTTTTATGTAGAAACAACAACTGGCACTAATTATTTCTATAGAAAAAGTTACCGATAACTATATTTTCCTTTGAGCTCTATAAAATAAAAATATTCCAAAGCTACTCATTCTGTAGAATATATAATCGATAAAAAAAAACACCAATAATAACAGATATGATCTGTTCCAGAACCTGCAAAAATCCACTAGTTTCGCAATTTTTCTCGATATTATAAAGGGAAAATCGTAGTAAAAACTTTTACATTCTTGCAGTTCTTTTACATTTTACATTGTTGCTTTAAAAGAGACCGATGAAAATATTTGATAAGGAAATCGATGGCAAGTTTTTTTTTCATAAAAAAATAACATTTATACAATCAAATTTTCCACAAAGAAATCAACAACTAAATATTCTTTAGAAAATTGTATCGATAACAAAACTTTTTACATAAAATTCCATCGATAATCTGTTTTTCTATAGGTAATATTGTCGGGAGAAATAAATAGTACGGAAAATGAGGTCGATACTAGTTTTTCTTGCGGAAATATTCTCAATAACCTGGTTTTCTTTTGAATATGTTGTCGATAAACAATTTTTTTACAGAAAATATTGTCGATAAACAACTTGTCTTTAGAAAATGTTGTCGATAACCAACTTTCCGTTAGAAATTGTTGTCGATAACCAACTTTCCGTTTGAAAATGTTGTGGATAACCAACTTTTCTTTAGAAAATGTTGTCAAAAACCAACTTTTCTGTGGAAAATGTTGTCGATGAACAACCTTTCTTTAGAAAAATTTGTGGATAAACAACTTTTCTTTAGAAAATGTTGTCGATAACCAACTTTTCTTTAGAAAATGTTGTCAGTAACCATCTTTTCGTTAGAAAATGTTGTCGATAAACCGCTTTTCTCAGAGAAAGTAGAAATCCAAACCATAAAAATGCTTATTTTTAAAAAAACTATTGTCAATAACATTCTTCAGAAACTGTTATCCATAACAAAACTTTTTACAGTAAATGCCGTCGATAATCTATTTTTCTATAGGAAATGTCTTCGGTAAAAATCTTTCGTAATGAAAATATTGTTAATAACCACTTTTTTTAGAAAATGCCATCGATCGAAAATATCGAAAAAGAAAACAATTTTTTATGCAATAAACTAACAACAAATGGTCCATAAGAAATGTTGCGACAATCGCATGCTTTAAAGAAAGGTTGACAAAAGTTTTTTTTTTTTTTTTTTTAATAAATAGACGCAACATTTTTTAATGAAGAACGATAAGTGATAACAACCTTTCCCCACATTTAAAACATTTAAAAAATGTTAATCAAAATAAACAAATATTTCACGTGATGCATTGTTTTTATGTTTTCAAAGAAAAAAAAAACCGCCAACTCAAAGTTCTGACTCAGTATTTTTGCCTCCGGAATGAAAGTGTTCATTTTAAGTGGTTCCCCACGTAAGTGCATTAAAAAACCAATTATTGTTCGAATAAGTATAAACATTTCTCATAAATTTTATTCACGCATATTCTCAATAAAAAAAAGAACCTAAATTAACATTTATAGGAAAATGTATTTTCGGAAAAATATGAATTATTTTTGTACTAAGAACCATGAATTGTTGCATGTGGATTTAATTGGATGTCAAACAAAAAGAAAGACTAAAAATAGTATCTACCCATGGTACAATGAAGACAAGGTAGGATAAGTTAGAGAAAATTGCAATTGGAGATATCTACCTGTATGGATTGTAATATCAGAACTACTATCAAAATAAATGCATATTTTGGCATTTCAATCAACAAATAAACAAAACAACTTGTTGCATTGAATTTGAATAAATAAATGAAAACGTGAACAATTAATGAAAGATCAAGATTTCTTTTCAAAGTCATGTCCTATACATCTCAAAAAATCTGAATGGGTGGATAACCATGATTTTGAAATAAAAATTAGCATTTCGTGAATTTTTATGGAACCTTTTTTATTATCTCTAGTCTAATTATTATTTTGAAAAAGTTTTTAACACAAATTATACAAATGTGGGCTAATTTAAGTATTTGCCTAAAAGTATGCAGCACACAATCAGGAAATTGTGTCAGAATTATAATCCTTGATTTACAATGTTACAGTACAATGAAATACCATTTGTTCCAAAAGTAGGGAGCAAAAACTTGAAGAAAAGGAATGGATAGAAGTTGTTTTAAGAATAACCTAAAAGAGGGGAATCAAAATCAATGTTAAGGCGAGTTTAAACATCATGTTAGAGTCAAATGTAAAGTGAATATTTCCACAATTATTTTAGCATATCTACAGCATACTTTTCGGCGATCCCACAGTTTTTGAAACTAAAACGAAGCGCTTCGTACCATAGCTTAAATTAATATATTTTTAGCGAAAGCACTGTATAATTATAGTACAAGTATATTATATATGCTCCGTTTTAGAACCTGCAAAAGAATTAACATTTTTACTACAATAACCGATTTTTCCTATATGATATCAAAGAATGCTAAGTTGTACAATCTTGCTGGGTCCAGCATCAGCAAAAATATATTAGATTTGCAATTTTTTTTAATTCTTGGCTTCAAAATTTTAAAAATGTTTAAAAGTTTTTATACCCTCTACCACATAGTGGTAAGGGTGATAGATACCATATATACTTTTGAGGATCTAGATAGAATCACTTTCTGAGTCGATTTATGCATGTCAGTCCGTCTGTACTCCTGTCCGTCCATCTGTCTATGTATTCTTCAGAACAAAATGTGGGTCGCATTTATTATCCGATTGAGATGAAATTTTCTACAAATCATTTGCCTGGCCTAAGGACGAACCCTGTTGAAATTGGTGAGAATCGGTTCAAATTTAGATATGGCTCCCGTATATATTTTCAAACGATTTTGGGTTAATTATGCACCAAATGGCCAATATCTTTCAAAATGACCTGAATTTTGGCACATTCGAACGAATTCAGTCTAGTAGTAAGTACATCAAATTTGGTGAAAATCGGTTCAGATATAACAATAGGTCCCGTATATCCGATTTGGTCTTTAAGTCCCTCACATTCGTAATATGCATGCGACAACAATGATATTTGGTACCAGATATCTTATAGAGCTCGGAAATACGCTTGCCAAATTTTATCGATAACGGCTAAGATTCGGATATAGCTCCCATATATATTCTTAATCCGATTTCAGGTTTATTGTGCAAATAATTGCTAATATCGACCAAAATGGAATGAATTAATCCTTCTCTTCAATGTTATTGGGTATCAGTCAGATACGTCAGATTTCATGAAAATCGGTTCAGAATTGGACATCGGTTATAGTAGTAAAAAGTTTTGCACTCTTGCTCTGTTCCAAAATCTGCAAAAATCTACTTGTTTTGCAATTTATTTTTCGATACTTTTACATTTTTGTAGTTCTGGAAGAGACTATCATTTAAATTCCCAAAATTGTTAGAAATGCTTAAATGTATGCTATAAATATGTTAAATGCGAAATATGAAGACGACACTTTTGGTATGACTCTGACTGACGTTATATATTTTATTTCATCCACAAAAGACCTATGCAAAAAAATAAAAAAATCTATACTTTTTTTAAATATTTACATAAATTTTTTATTTAAAGGAAAAACTACCGTGAAAGCGCTAACTATAATTTTACTTTTTCAAAAATTTGTGAACATTTTTGAAGAACCGGAAAAACATTTTTTTCGATTTTTTTAGATTTAGACAAAAGTATTTATCATTTATTAAGGCAAATAATTTCGGAAAGTTTTAATTATTTTCAATTAATTCAATTGATTTTTTTTTTTCACAAAACCACTCGAATTTAAAATATTGCGAAATTCAAAAAATATTTATTTCTTCTACCAAAATTTAATGTTTTCTTTACCTAAAAGTATGCACCAAAAATGTGTAAAATATCTGAACCATGGTAGAAAAATACAGGTAGATGCATCAACGCTTGGGAGCATTGATATGTCAAAAATTTTGAAATTTCTTTTCAAATATAAGTAGATTTTTATATGTTTTCTAATACGACGTCATTCGGAGGTTATTATAATATGGCTTTTTCAACAATTTTTACAAATTTAAATAATTTTTCATTCAACATTTTCCATTCCAAAATTGGTTTGACAGTTCATTGTCCCAGCAGCTGCGTCGATGCGTCTACCTATATTCTTCTACCATGATCTGAACCCAATGAGAAACTTTTTCTTTGTCATAATTTTTAATTATCTTCAATATATATATAATTTGAATCCCTTTTTGTCTGAATTAAATAAGAAAATATTTTCTCTATGTCACAATTAGAGATTTTTACGTGTTTTTAATTGAAAAAAGTGTCATTAATTTTTTTAGATAAATATAAATTTAAATAATTTAGAAGCAGGAAGGAAATAGTTTTCCTAACGATTTTTAACTTTATTTTTTAAATCAGAATAATTTAGAATTAAAATCCAAAAAGCAAAATATATACATAAAATTCCCAGTCAATTTTAAAATTTAATAACCATTACAAAAAAATTTAAAGTGCTAGAAAATTAAATAATAGAAAATTAAACTCAACAAATATTTTTTTCAAAACTATTTTATTTTTCTTTTTCTAAGATTATGCACCACATAAAAATTTGGAAATTAAAATACAAACCTTTTTAACAATTGCCCCAAAAAATTGTTGGAATATTTTTGAATTCAATTTTTTTCGTAAGAAAACAGTTTAACAATTATTTTCAAACGAAATTTAAACTATTCGGAAACTTAAACTCAATATTTTATTGTACTTTTTGCACTGACACAATTTTTTTCTCTTATATTTTATTATTTACACAAAGTTTTTAAATTTATTTGATATTTTTTTTTTAATAATTTTAATATATTTTTTTTAATTTTTTTACAGTTTATGAAACAAAATTCAAAACTAAAATCGTTACAAAATCCCGTAACGCACACAGCGGACTGACGAGCTAACGTTAACGTGAAGGCCTTTTATACACTCAACGTAGCACGACGAAATATCATTATCATCATCACAAGCATATCGTAAACACGAATCACAAGCGAAGGAACGAACGAAGGAGCCAACAGGATACGGAACCGAGGTGAAATGCCATGGAAAAGATGCGCGCACATCAAATCGAAACAATCAAATGGCTAAGGGTCGCAACAACACAAACTACATGTTTGGATTGTTGGCCTCATCGTAGTATCCTTACAACCGTTAACAACACCCCCCCCCCCCCCTTGCCACTGTTACTACCGGGAATCCTACAAGTGTTAACTGTTGCAAATGCGTGCCTATATGATAATGAGAATGACAAAAACAAAACAACAACAATATCACTAAAAGTAAGATGAAGGGGAAGTTATTTTCTCGTCTAGAGGGGGGCTGGGGTGGCAGTACCCCACTTTAACGACCTGGGGTTTTTTCTAGTTTTTCTTTTGGGGGAGTGGTGTTATCCAAATAAATATTCATATGACTATTCTGATGGCATTGATGCTGGTGCTGCTGCTCATGGCGGGGTTGGTACTAGCGGTCGAGGTGGGAGGAGCTGTTGCAGCAACAAACTGTTGCTACTGATTCCATACTCCAGTTTGATTCCCTTTTGTTTTGTGCCATTTTTGCTGATGATACTTTTTGCATGATTTTGCCACTTCGGTTTTGGATGTGGCCTTCCTTTTATAAACGAGACTAAATGATTTTTTTTATTTCTCTTTAATTTTATATTTCTTCCATATTTAGTTGAAAATTTTAAGGAAAAAAATCAATTAACACTTGTTGCTTAAAAAATTCAAATGCTTAGATCCATAAATATTTATGGTATTGAAGATAGTTACAGAAAGAATTCTCTTCCTGGAGATTTCACTGGGAAGAAGAGGATAATATTTTGCCATTTTAGTGTAACAATTTAAACGAGTTTCATTGAATGTTTAAAGAATTAAGGTGAGAATACATAAAACACTTTTCAGAATGGCTTCAGTCATCGGCTGGCTTCTTCGGAAAATAAAAAAGGAGCGAAGGGCCAAAATCGACCCATGTTAACCTAAAAATCCATTGTTCATCTACGAAGAAGCCACCCGATAACTTAAGCCAATCAGAATTTTTTTGAGAAACATTTATCTTTTTCATTTTTATAGCATACTCTTCGGCGCTATATCACGATTTTTTTTAAACTAAAACAAACCATTTATTGTTAAGCATAAATAAATATATTTATATTATAAGTATAGTAAAAATGTAGCACTATATAGTGTAGATTCAGATTCTTTTAAATTAAACCAGTAAAGAAAGTCCTAAAGTCGGGCGGGCCCGATTTTATGATACCCTACACCACTTTACTAATTTAGTTGAGCTCCACTTAATAATTAAAAGTTTTTATGGGAGAATTCAATCATACACGCTATGATTATAATTATAATTTAAAATTCAAAGGACTAAATATTGCCCATTTGGTGCGAAATTAATTTGAAATCGGATAAAAATATATATGGGAACTATATCCAAATCTGAACCGATTTTGATAAAATTTGGCAAAGATATTTCTGAGCTGTATTTGATATATTTCCCTGAATATCGTTGTTACGGAGTGCATATTACGGTTGTGGGTAACAAATATAACAAATCGGATGAATAATATATATGGAAGCTATAGCTATATCTGAACCGATATTCACCAAATTTGACATACTACCTTCTAGACTAAATTCGGTCGTATGTGCCAAATTCCATCCCATTTGTACAAATATTAGACGTTTGGTGCACAATAAAAGGTAAATCGGACGAAGTTATATATGGGAGCTATATCCAAATCTGAAAATTTGGCATACTTATTTTCAGGCCTAATTTGGTTGTATGTGCAAAATTCCATACTATTCGGGCTGATATTACACGTTTGGTGCACAATAAAAGGCAAATCGGAAGAAGATATATATGGGAGCTATATCTAAATTTTTACCGATTATCTCCAATTTCAATAGGATTCGTCCTTGGGTCAAACAAATGTTGTTTGCAAAATTTCATCTCAATCGGATAATAAATGCGACCTGCATTTTGTTCACAAGGATACATGGACAGACGGACGGACGGACAGACGGACTAACATGCATAAATCAACTCAGAGAGTGATTCTATGCAGATCATCAAAAGGAACTATGGGTCTATCTCGTTTCTTTTTGCCTGTTACAAACAAATGCACAAAGACATAATACCCTGACCACCTTGTGGTGTAGGGTATAAAAATTGTTGGAAGTGCTCAAAAGTATGCTATAAAAATACTAAATATAAACTGTGAAAATTTTATTTTACATATTCCTCTAACAGGATGTGCAAATAAGCCTTAAGCTACCTTTAATCCCCTTAAAGCCTGCTTACATAAGCCAAGTAATTTTCTTTCGAATATTCGAAATTTTTTCATTGCTATTGTATGAAGAATTATTCAAATTTGTAAAATCTCCGATTGGAAAAAAAGATTCTAAAAATGTTGACGTATCAATGTTCCCAAGCGTCGATGCATCTATCTGTATTCTTCTACCATGTAAACATGTAAAAAAGAAACTATGTTCCGAATTTGTATACCCTCTATGATTTGTAAAGAACTTGGGGCTTTACGAAAACGTGGACCTGTATAGCTAGAGATGGCGGTGCCTATTATAATTTCCAAATATCAACTCTGAGAAATTTCCATTGAAAAATGTTTCTAAAATTGGCAAAATACCATATATCGAGTGCTACCGTTATATGGGTGATATACGAAAACGTGGACCTGGCAATTTTCTGTCATAGGAAGAGGTACCCATTACCAACTCCAAATACCAAATTTGAAACAGTTCCTGTGAAAGGGGTGACATAGATTATCAAATTATCGAATAACGTTAGCTACAATTATAACGGGGCTATACGAAAAAAAAATGTGAGCATAAGTACATAATTTCCTATTAGAGACGATAGTAGGCACCGACAACACCAAATAATTTTTAAATAATCCCGTTGAAATTGTTTTCTAAAATTAGCAAAATATCGAATATCACGAGGTACAGTTATATGGGGTCCATAACAAAACTTGGGACTATATGTACAGTTTTCTCCAAGGACCTATTACTACTGGGAACACAAACAAATATGCAGCAAAAATCCACAAACGCCTTAAATCCGCAAATATAATTATATGGAGGCCATACCATAACGCTAGCCCATTTTCACTTCCAACAATTCTACGGACCAAAATGAATTTGAGTGAAATTTTGTCTACTTACATCACTGCGTTCGGACTCTAGAGTGATTCCCACAGACGGAGAGACATGGCTAAATCGACTTTTAATTGCATACTGATCAAGAATATATATACTTTGACGGGCCTAACGGAATGACAAACTTAATATACGCTCCATACTATGTTTGATAGATAGATAGGTAGTCGCATCGACACAGTTGCTGGAACAATGAAATGTCAAATCGCTTTTGAAATTGAAAGTTTTTAATTTTGTAAAAATTGTTAAAAAAATGCTTATCATAACAAACTCTAATTGGCGCCGTATAGAAAAAATATACAAATCTACTTATTTTTTAATAAACATTTAAAAATAATTTGACATATCAATGTTCCCAAGTGTTCTACCATGATAGAGTCGATAAAAATGAATCACTTTAGGGTTCACTAGTTCAAATTTATACAATGCTTTCTTAAGTCCGCTTTAAGGTGAAATACATAAAAAGCTTTTTTGACTGGCTTCTTCTTAGAGAAACAAAGGAATTTTAGGTTGCCTTAGTTCGATTTTGGCTTTAGGCTCCTTTGTTATTTTCCGAAGAAGCCAGCCGATGACTTAAGCCAGTCAAAAAGGCGTCTTATGAATTCTCGCCTTAAAAGTGAGAATCCATAGAAACAATTGTTTTCTGTCATAAGTCAAAAGCTCTTTTTTTGGGAAAAGGACAAAAGGATTAGTGTGACCTAATGTAAATTATGAAAATTGAAACAAGTCAACCTTTGTTATTTTACCAAAAAAAAAAAACAGAAAATTACTTAAGACAGAAAGGAATACATATGTGTTTGATGTTTTCCTAAATAAATTCCCATAGTTCTTCGAAAATGCTCCGCATAAGCGAGTTTAAATCCATAAAAAAACTTCTTCACATAAACTTCAATAAAGACGTGGTACACACTGGAATTGGGGTATATTTAACTATTTCGCAAATGTACCGAATCCTTTATCATAGAGAAACTGAGATATTTTTCCAAAATTTTTAAACATATTTCACACGGGGCGTCAACAATACATTACTAATAAATGTTATGGTTTTTTTCTCAACTTTCAAAGATTTCCCAAACTTTAGGTGAGGGGACATAAGTAGCTTGGCATCATGGCTAGGCATTTTAATGTCAAATTATAAGCAACAACGACGACAGGATTTGAATGCGGCTCTCGCATCCCTTTATGATATGTCACAAAATATGCCATGCGAAGATTTCAAGCTGTTTCTGTACTCTCACTTTTATTTTATTAGCACGAAATTATTTATTTATTTTTCCGGAAAAAAAAGAAATTTTCTCGGAATTTGAAAGATTTTTAGATGTTATGTTTAGGAAACAAGATTTAGGTACTTTCAAAATAACAACACTTACACAAAATATTTTTTTCACTTGATTTCACTTCTTTTTTCTTAAATTATTTTGTAATATTTTTAATTTCTAATTTATTTCAGCACTTAATTTATCTACACTCTTATATTTTCATACTTTGATTTCTTTATAACTCTTCACTATTTTTTTCTCAATATGTTTCCGATCGCGCGCCAAATCGACATTTACGAA